GAAACAAACGCCCGCCTTCAAGCAAACGCTTCTCTAAACATTCCAATTGTATATCTCATTTCATACTTAAAAATGTGTATTTTTCTAGGTGGAAATCTTTCAGTTGATCATTGGAGCATCAGCATTGATGGTCGACTAATTCACAATACAAATCAATTGAAAAAATATATATAAAACACAACAATAAAAACAAATAGGGTAAAAAAATACACTGATTTAGGTGGAAAAATGACTTCATTGCCAAAACACAAAAAACTCCTCTAGTTCTGCCTCAGATCAAAGCCACTACAACATAGTGGTGCTTTTTGAAAGGCAGCATTTATATCTGACTGTGACGAGAGCTTTGCTGCTCAACAAAATGGCATCGATTTAAAAATGTGATGTCCGAGTCGTAATTATTTAGAAAAGGTACTGCTACAAATGAGGTGCTGAGAAATAATGAGCTAGACATTGGTGAAGTATTTTAATGACAAATGACCTGAGAAATAAATACATGAAGCGACTAAAAGACAGATTACAAATTAGAGATTTTTTTTTAAATGAACGCAGACTTTAACTGTTTCTTTATTGCCATGAAAGCAACAGCGGTGTTGCCAAAGCATCAAAATACTTGCATAAAAATAATTGCAACAGCAACACAGCTGCTCGCTACTGCAACATTCACCACGACCACGATTGGCCTGCAGAGGCGAATCATGTTAAAACGTTTCATATGTAGAATATAGAAAACCGTCATCTTTAAATGTTCTAATCCACACCACCACTAGAACTTCACAGTATACTTTTACATATTTTAAAAGCAAGGAGTCGTGATGTTCTTACTTATTTAGGCAGGCATGGTTGACTTAATGCTTCAGCCACGTGGTCTTAATAAACCTCTGATCCATCAGACGAATGTGACAAACACCTTTATTGGCCGTTTGGACGTGTCAGCTCATTTGATGCAATTGTAACCGTGCAGATTACCCACAAATATTTTGTATTTGTGTATTTTGGGTAATTATGTTACGACCGTCTTACTTTCTCAGCTGAACAGTGCAAATGCGGCTCAGAGGACTTATTCCGGTTCCAAGATGGCTGCTGGACGCTACCAAAGGGCGATGCAGCAGTTCACCGGCGCTCTGCGGGACGGAGGGCTCGGGACCTGGCTCAGAAAACCTCCAGAATCGGGTCGCTCCAACGCCAGCGTGTGAAAATCTGTTTGTTAAAAGGGCGACTACGAAAGGGTCAGGGTCAAAGTTCATGTGTGTTTTTGTTTGTGAGTGCTATAGTTGTAAAGAATGTGACGCTAGATTAAGAAAGTGGATAATTTCACCCTTATTTGATCAAATATGAGACGTTGGCTGATTGGAAATACAAGAGAAGAATTTAGGGAAATTCAGGCAAAAGATGGAATAGTTGTTGAATAAAAGCTGCTAACGTCAGCTGTAGAAGATGATTCTAGCTTGTCTTGCCACAGGAAATCTAATAATTATAATGCTGAAATCACCTTTTAACAAACCACGTATAAAACAACTCATGTATTTAAAAAGTTCAATTCAATAAGCCACGTATTGTTAACAAAGAAATAACAGTACGTAACTGTACGTAAATGCAGGCTGCACACTAATGAAGTACTGTCATAATATATACACTGTAAAAATAAGATATCAGAACATTCTACAGCTCAAAATGTCGTCACTGTCCAACTCATCTTGTGGACCTCACAAACACTGTGTCATTAATACAGAATGACACACACCACTTGTCCCACAGGGGGACGTTACATTGAATGATCCGAACTGTAATCATATCATATCAATCATATAATTATCAATATAATAAACTCCTACTCTAAACTTAACCGATTCCAAGCTAGAAACTGTAGAACATGTTTGTTATCCTATTCCGGTAATGTATATTTGATGCACCCGTTTTTAAACACTGTTGTAAAGCATCAGAGTGCGAGACTCACGAGTGAAGACACGTCGCCATCTAGAGGCAGATTGTGTGCATTACAAGTGTGAAGTCAGGAGAAATCTAATTCAAATATAATCAGCCTTTTTCCTTAATAATTTGTCCTTTACATATATTATGTGATCCTGTTGAAGTCTCAACGTATTGATTGATTCATTACAAATATCCCAAAGGCTCTTAATGTTATTAATAGAATGTTATTCTTGTGTAATGACTACTACTACTATTTTCATAGGTAAGGAATGTAAAAAACGAAGGGCATTTCTACTGAAAGACGCTCTTAATTCTGTATGAACTTTTTTATTAAAAATGCACAACAATCTATATTGTTCATGAATATTTTATATCTGGAAATAAATTATCATTTGTGGTATTTGTATCATATTAACATTTATACTAATAATTGCTCCCTGGGCAAAAATGTGAAAAAGCCATGGGTTTAAAGTGTAATGTAAGTCGCTTGGGATAAAAGCGTCTGCTAAATGACCTGTAATATAATGTAATGTAATGTATACCTTCCATATGAATACTTTATTATTTATTAATAAGACAAGGGTCTGCCAGAACCTTTATTTTCATGTTTATCAACACGATGTGAGTAAAATGTGGCTAGAAAAGATTATTTATGAAATAGTTAACTTAATAGATGGCACAATAAAGAAAAATAAGGCAGTTATATTGGAGAACAATATCTCAGTAAGTGTAGAATCCCAGCAGTCAAAATTTTCCCCAAATGGCAGAAGCAGTCCATGCTGGTTTCATGAAAGTTTTCACCTTTTCAAATATAAACATTTTTGCCGTCTGGTTGAGCGCAAGTTAAGATATTTTGACTTCATGAACTTTGAACCAAATTGATTAAATAATAAAAGAAAAGAAACCATTACAGAAGGGGCCGACTTTTTTTTTTAAGTGTCTTTTTAAAATGAAAGATGAAGCTCTAATAAGTTAATACAATATTAAAATTTAACCTTTACGATGAGACTTATCGGACATATTGTTGATACATGAACTCGTTAGCATACAGTTGGGTCACAAACAAACAATCACCCCCCATAAAAAACACTCACCTAGGAAACGTTCAAACAGCACAAACGGTTTATTTTTATTTCCCAAGCAGACACTTGTTGGTTATTACACAGTTGTTTATTTTCTATGAGGTTTTTTGTTCTACATTGAACCATGTTGATCACAAACACTGAACACGGATCAACGAGGCGTCACAACGTCAACGTGTTGATGATGTTACAAACAGCGTTACGGAGACGCGACGAGTCAAATGCAGTGAGGCTTCTTTTAAGCTGTTCTACATGAAAGCAGAGACACAACAAACCTAAACAGCTTTTTAAAAAAAGGTCCTCAAAACCAGAGAGGAGTCTTCTAGAAAAACGTAGAATCATCTTCTCCCATTTCGGGTAAATTAGTTGTAAATATTTGCTCATTGCAGCCGGAGCAAATACAGAGAAAACACATCCGCTGATCAGAGATTCACTCAGCAACTAACTACTCACAAACACACATTGTACAAAACCTCAAAATGTATTTTGGGAATGTTTTGTCTGTCACGTCTCATTTTGTGCCAAAAGTGGGACTTGATTTGCCGTTTGGAAACCAGCGCACGACGTCCACAGCGACGTGTTTATCATTATCATTGTTATTCTTTTTAATCGCACCGGGTCACTGCTCGGGCCAAAACGCAGACTGTGGGATAAATGGTAATCGGAGCAACGTTTATTCACACTAAAGGAAATGCATGATCATCATATCAACACCTTTGGAAAAAAAAAGGTACGGCCAAAACCTACTCACTTCTTTATATACATATTATATGTTATGGGTTTCCAGTAACAGGCGTTGACACTTTACATTTTGGCAAGTTATCACTTTAGTTTGTTCTTGAGAGTTTACTTTTATTTCATCTTTAATGTAACAATGCCTTTGTTTCACAAAATGTACTTCAACAAGTTTTCTACTCTATCGAAACGCATTTCACCGGGTTAAAACCCACTGCAAAGAAGGCAGCTGTAAAGTGAAACCACACACACACACACACACACACACACACACACACACACACACACACGGCTGTTTTAGTGGCAGTGGGAAAGCGAGGCAGCAAACGCATCACGACACTCCTGGAGGGATTTCACTGGTTTTAATAAAGACCAAACAGACAGACAGACAGACAGACAGACAGACAGACAGACAGACAGACAGACAGACAGACAGACAGACAGACAGACAGACAGACAGACAGACAGACAGACAGACAGACAGACAGACAGACTGACAGACAGACAGACAGACAGACTGATAGACAGACAGACAGACCGACAGACAGACAGACCGACAGACAGACAGACCGACAGATGGATAGACAGACAGACAGACAGACAGACAGACAGACAGACAGACAGACTGAGTGACAGACAGACAGACAGACAGACAGACAGACAGACAGACAGACAGACAGACAGACAGACAGACAGACAGACAGACAGACAGACAGACAGACAGACAGACAGACAGACAGACAGACAGACAGACAGACAGAATCCTCACAACGGTGTTTCAGCGACTAAAGGGCACCGCGATGAACTCGTGGAAGCGTCTTTTCTACAATCGTGTGACGTGTTGCAGCAGCGGGCAGCCGAGGAACAGCAGCTACTATGTTCGAGCTTTTGACGACAGAATCGGCTGTTCTTTTGTTTGAATGAAATCAGGTAATAAAGTGCATTCGTTGTTGTGTCACAACAACAAGCTTTGTCTACTGAACACGTTTGTACTTTTATGTAATTTTAATTGCAGCATTCAGTAAATGTGACTTCTGTAGCAGCTGCAAGTTCCCATTGATGATGAAGTCACATCTATAACACGCATGGTTCCGCTAATCTTATTTACTGCATGAAGTGACCTCCATCAAGGCCCTTTCTAAACAAATAGTTCCACAAACTAAAGAGTAAGTAAGTACGGAAGAACTGTGGTAATTATTGTCTTTATGTTCTAGTGTTGCACACAGAGGGGATGTTTGCAGAGCTCAGCGTTTCTGTTGTTGAGCATTACCTTAACTTAACCAATTAAATAAATAACAAGCAAATAACCCAAGCTTTGTTTCTGCTTAAAACTTTTAACAAAGTCTAAGAATTTAACTTTAACATAATTTCCAGTTGTCGGCGTTACATTGATGAGTGTTTCTTAATTTACCACCACGTGAAAAAGGTGTAAAATATTTAAGACTGTTTCTTCTGGTTAAATCACAGCAACCATCAGCTTTTGAGAGATTTTAATTTGCACACGTACAGAATCCGTAAAACTGCCTTTTCCTCCCCGAAGCCGAGACAACGTCTACACATTAATTGCTAATCTTTAATAATGGGGGGTGGTGGTATGGCAGCAGCACACTGGCTCAGATCATCCACGGTTTGGTTTTCTTGTTTTAACCGTATTAAACGTTCATCTCCCTCTAAGTGTTTGCTGCCATCCAGTGACAACAGTGTTGCTCAGGTTGAGCCCGAAGCCGTTCAGAATATGGAACATGCGGCTGTTTTTAAGGTTAGCAACATGTCAGTAGTACAAACACGGCACAGGAGAAGGTTTCGCGTTCCTTTTTATGTGGCAACAGAAGAGAATCCAGATTATTTCAGCTCCTTTTCACAAGAGAACAGAACCTCAGTGGGCCGGTAAACAACCCTTCCAGCTAGCAGCCGGTTCCCCTTCTGTCTGGACAGAAGCGGCAAAAGCAGCAATAAGCTATAATTACTTTCAGAAAGGTTCATTACCGAATCACACAAACCCCCGAACGCTGAGCCCAGCTGTGACAAACAGCTGCTGTGACAATACGCTGTTGAAATGTACCAGGGAATCTCAGGGACCGAGCTGAATGTTTTGTAATGAAGGAAACTCGCACACTTACGTAAGCATCTTTCAGTTTTCAACGAAGACGACAAAAGACTCTCCAATGTGTTTTTTCCTCCTCTTGATCGATATGTTCTGTGTAACTGGGCGGCGGGTTAGAGGGCGTGAGGTGGGGGAGGTCGGACCTCAGGGGGCTTCGGGTGTCGACCGCCTGTAGACTCAAGAGACGGCTGTTAAAAGCCCCACCTTTTTAAAACCCGCCTCCTTGGAGCCTGCGAGTGTTCGAGCGGAGGTCATTTCTCCTGCAGCAGGGCGGGGATGTTGATGTTCCAGCCGATGGCCTGCCGGTCGAAGCCGCAGGTGAACAGGTTGCAGGAGGTGTTGTCCTCACACCAGGCGGAGCAGCACACCATCCGCCGGTGACCCTGGAGATGACGGACAGCGGAGCGTCAGAACAGCGACGAGGCGCAGAGCGACCTCCAGACTGAGCGACCACAAGCTGCTGCAGCACAACATCTTTAGAATTCATAGAAGATGCGTGGGCGGACATTAAAACGGAGGCTCCTCCCCCTCCATCGACTCACCGTCCTGTTGCTTTGTGGGAGTCGAGCCAGTCGCACCCCGGCCATGTCGAATAGACGGACCTGCCGATTGTCGTGAGGCAGAGCGATGATTTTCTGGGTCACCGACACGCTGATCCTGAAGACAACAACAGCAACAAAACAGCGGGGGAAGAAAGAACCAACCAACGTGACTTATGAGCATTATCATTTAAAACCATTTCAAGGATAAATTGATATGTCCGTAAACTCCACGGGGAAATTCAGACATTGTTCATGCATGAACTTAAAAATTTAAACGCTTAAATGACCCAATAAAACAACAGCTATATTTGTGGTATAAAAAACAGCTCAAAAGCAATTTTGGATTAGCAATATTACAAAACACATGTTGACGGACCTGTTGACGGCCGAGTCGGTGCGGATGGTTGCTATGGGCGACCTCATGTTCTTCAGGTCCCACACTTTGACTGTTCGATCGTCGCTCCCGGAAACCACGTTGTCGCCCACTGTGAAGACGGCGGACGTCACCGTGCTGAGCATGAGGAGGACATAAATATATACGTGTTATTTGCATATTTATAAAAACAGGAAAACAGCTAATTACTCTTGAAAATAAAATAAACCTAATTAACAAACAATTCTGATTCTAATTAATCAACATGCTTTTTATTAAGAAGAAGAAGCCATTTTTATTGCGTATTAAGTATTATTTTACACATACAGGAAATTGTTCTCTGCATTTAACCCGTCCCACACACTGGGAGCAGTGTGCTGCCGAAGAGGCGTCCGGGGAGCAGTTGGGGGTTAGGTGTCTTGCTCAGGAGCACTTGGACATGGGACATGGAGCAGCCGGGGCTCGAACCGCCAACCCTGCAGTTCCCGGCGCACCCTCCATGCGCCACGGTCACCCACTAGTAACATCTTGCCCTCCTTACAAAAGACAATGTGGATACGATAGTGTGTGTGTGTGTGTGTGTGGGGCAGACTTACTCTGTGTGTCCCTGGAACACGTTGACCGAGTGGATGGACGGGTCCCTGAAGTCCCACAGCCTGAAGGTGGTGTCCCTGGACGAGGTCACCACCAGGCGCTGGGTGGGGTGTGTGCAGCAGTGGGTAAGCTCCTGGTCGTGGCCTGAAAACACACACACACACACACACAAAATGATGACAGTTATACGTATAAGTTTTGAAATCATTTGTCCCCCATTTTTCTCTCCCGCTCACCGGTGAGCGAGTGGACCAGCTCTGCCGTCTCCACGTCGTAGAGGTTGGCGGCTCGGTCCCAGGAGGCCGTCACCGCCTGCTTGCCGCCCACCAGCCAGTCGGCGGCGATCACCACGCCCTGGTGGCTGCGCAGGGTGGTGGTCGCCACGCGGAGGGAGGGGCAGTCGCTGGGACCCTCCGCCTCGCCGTCGGCCTCGTCCTTGTCAGAGGAGTCCACGTCATCCTCGCAGGGGGTCTGCTGCTGACGGACAGGACTTGTTTTAGGAAAGATGTAATAAACCACTAAAATATGTTCAAAAAGAAAATGGTTCTACCGCGAGACGCAGCGTTAATGTGCACAAAAAGATATTAGCTGATGCTCACACTGATATCAGCGACGGGCTGTGGAGTCGGCAGCTGCACCATGTACCTCCAGATGTGAGCCGTCTGGTCCCCGGACGCTGAGGAGGAGGGATCAGTGATGATGACATCACAGGTGTCTTACGAAGTTTCTGGTCATGTGATATCGGTGTTTGGATCAAGAGGAGGAAAGCTAGCGGCGTTACCTGTTAGCGCCATCTGCTCCGTCGGGTGGAACTTGATGGAGTTGACTGCAGAGACAGAAAAACATGTCACGAACAAGTCACGAAAGACACAGCTTCAGTTTCCTCTTTGCTTTTTTTCTTGAGGAGAGCAGATTTTAGTTCTGCACGTATCTCCAGAACGCGAGTAGCGATCATTGTCATAAACGTAGAGCTAGAAAAGTACCTGATCCTTGGTGCCCCGCGTATTTGAGGAGGCACTTTCCCGTCTCAATGCTCCACAGCATGGCCGAGTGGTCTGTTAAGACACACAGGAGACAGAAGGAAAGAAATTCAACCTTTCTAAAATATTTGGATTGAAAAGAAAAGAAAGAAATGGCCACAAGACCTTTAATGTAACCCTCTGAACCCAAACTAGTTTAGGGAGGTTTTTTTTCCTGTGGCCCTGTTTTGTTTTCCTGCAGAAGTCCAGCTCCTCTTTGGAAACAGCACAATACATAATACTACGTTGAGTCTATGTATGCAAGAAGTGTCCCGTGTGCTTTCTTACAGTCTCTCCTCTCTGCTCACTTCCTGCAGTTCAGTCAAAATCTCACTCAATTGTTGTCACATGACTGTTGGTCTCCGATAAATCCACCATTGCTTCATAGTTGTTTTCAGCAGAATAAATTCAAGAGAGTAACGAACAATGAAATCTGGTGCAGTACCTGCTGATGCCGTACCGAGCACCACAGGCTGAGTCCTGGAGACGCTGAGGTCCCAGATGCCGTCTCTGTGTCCCACATACTCCCGGACCAGCTGGCACACGGCTCTGGACGTGGTCGCTTTGAAGCTGGACACGATCTGAAGGCGCAATCGAACCCGCGTCAACACAGAGTGACATCACAGAACCGAAGAGGGCCCCCACACACTTCTTTACTTCTCCAGGTTGGGTAGCTATTGTTCCGGCATTCCCACACCTTCTTTTAGAGGGAAAGGTTAGTCAATCAAGATGATTGACTGCCTCTAAAGCATCAACATTTTATAATCAAATTAGTGACTCCCACTTTTGAAGATCTCATCAAATCCGTAAATCCATGTGTTTTATAGGATATCGTAGTGTGTCGTTCATACCTTCTAATGACACAAATATGTCAAATATCTCAACATTCTGCAACAATTTGTCCTTATTTCACAAACAGCTTAAAGGGGAAATGTCATGATTTTATTCTCCCAGACGTTTGCAGAACTGTGTAGGAACCCTGACGTAGGAAGGAGGGAAAGGCTCGGCAGAACTGAGGAGCTGCTCAGCAGGGTTCTTGTAGTAAGCCAGTGCTAAGAAGCTTCAGTTGAGAACAGCGTTATTCATATCAGTCCTGGGCTCAAGGTTTTACCAAATCAACAACAACAACATATTGAATAGCATTGGTGTGAAGCTTGTTTTTATGAACACATGCTTGGCGGGGTCACCACCAAAGTGCTAAAAACAAACGCCACTAATAACCCAGATCTGGTATCAACACAAATGCAGACACGTTAAGCATCAGTGCCGTGTACTGCCTTCATCATACCAGGATTACTGTCAATGCAAAACCGCAAAACAAGACGGATAAATCTGGAAGGGAAAGAAAACGGGGCAAAGAAACACGGAGTTACGGTGACACAACCAATATGATCAGTTATGGTTATCGGTCGGGGTGTTTACATTAAAGATGGGGATGATACAAACTGGACCCTCGGTTCTTTTTGGAAACAGATCACTAAATAAGTTCCAACTGAAAGGAAGCAGGAGAGCGACAGGGACAGAATCAATCATATGACGAATGTATCACGCCAAGAGCAGAGCCTCCACAAATCAAGATATTACAGTCAGAATAAAACCGATACAGTGACACTGAAGCGGTACTTTGTTCCCTCCTTTGTCATTATATTCAATGCAACATGTTTGTCAGTTAATGCAAATGAGGTGTGACAATGTCATCTGTCATTTCTGAACGGTTAATGTCGAATTCAAGACATATTTTAACACATTTTGATGCATTTATGCTGCATTCAAAAATAAAAAAGAAGCAACAGATAATGAGAATGCGAAGCGTCTCAAAAAAACTTGAGGCAGCTGGTTGAGCGGCAAATTCAATGCACCCGACGGGTTAATGAACGTTAGCTTCAGTGTGCAGTCTGCTGCAGCCACGTCGACGTCCCGCTTGGTTCACAATACTTTTAATATCAATTAATGCATCGACCCGATGCATTCACAAATCAGCATTAGTGCAAAGAAAACCTCAGCAAAGGTCAGTATGTCAAACGGGCTCAATTTGCGCCGATCACACCGGGCCGTTAACTTCCTATTCTGTAACGTGGCGAAACGTGTGTTTCTACATACACAGACTTCATCATCTGGTCCTATTCAAACCATTGTGAAACGCTTGCGGGCGGCGGGGGGTCCAAAGCTGTTCTCAGTTGCCACTTTAAAGCCACTACATCTGACCAACTAGTCAAGCGTTAGTGAATGTATCTTCATTTTAAGAGTCTTAAAAACAAAAGAATCCAACATGGCCGAGCAACTTTCAGCAGACCGCACACATTTCCCATTTAGCAGCTGACGGATGCTCCTCCACCTTCAGGCTCTTCATTCATGAATGCACTAAAATAATGTTGGATATTAAAATATCTCCATGTGAAGCCAAATTAAAACCAAGGAGGCGCAACTGAAAAAGCCCGTTAGTGAGATAACGAAGCCGTGTTTGTCTCACAACAGAACAAAACTCAGTCCTACATTTGAACGACCAGGTCTCTCGGGGAGGGAGAGTCGAACCCCGGGCCGGGCTGTTCATGCACATTGGTGCACACAGGGTGGGGGTGGAGGTGGGGGGGTGACGGGAGGGAGGGGGATGGCGGGGGGGAGAAAGCAACAAGTTACCCATGAGTCGCCACCCCACAACTCCCAGCTGGTTACGCTGAAGTTGCGGGTTCCGCCTACTCTGGCGTGGCAGGAGTTTGAACGCGGCTACGAGCAAAAAAGGTGGAAAAAAACAACAACAACAACAACACAGCAGTTCTTCTCTTGAACATTCACAAGTCATGTGATACACAAGGCGCCAAAACAACGAAGCAAATTTACCAATCAAACCTTTTCATTCCCGCGTTGATGGACATGGACACACACTCATAATATCGACAACCGACGTGAGGCAGCAGTAATAAAATGCACCAGTGTGTTTGTCACCTTGCTCGTGGAGGCCTTGTAGGTCGTCTTCAGTTTTTGTGACAGCTGGCTGGTGCTGTGACTCGCTGGGTCAGAAATAAGAAATAAGTTAAAACAATACTTCATGAAGACACACGTCTCTTCTAGAACGCGTGTGACGTGCCTCACCTTTTGTTTTCAACGCTCCTTTGGCCAAATCGGCCCCTTCGACGGTTTGCCCGTCGGCCAGGCGGTCGTTCAGCGTTTCGATTTCTCTGCGTACTGAGGGGCAAACGGTCACGTGTTAAAAAGAGTTGTTTCAGTGCGGAAGATTATGAGATTAACTGATGAAGTAAGTCGGGGGAAAGACTTAATTCACACCAAAGATGCTGCTGTTGTATTCAGGCTTCTCAAAATAAACTCTGTTTGGTTCAGGAAAAGACGCGAGCAGAGGTGTCAAGTAACAAAGTACAAATACTTTGTTACCTTAAGTAGAAATTTGGGGTATGTTGTAACGGACTGACATGTTCTGAGCAGAGAGTTTTTTCCCCCTTCCATTACTTTTAGGCTTTAAGTAGTTGAATGCAGTACTTTTACACTTCTACTTAAGTTCTACAGCAGTCTTTTTAAACCATAGTATCTACTTCTACTTGAGTAATGAATGAATACTTTTGACACCTCTGAACGCGAGGCACGCTGAGACTTACGTTCCAGGTTTTCTATGTAGAGGTTTTCAAACTCTCTCTCGATCTGACTGAACAGGTCCAGCAGATTGGTCCTCAGAGACAAAGGCAGCTTGGAGTCCTGCTGGGAGACAAGAGGAGGACATGAAGCCGGACGGGGTCACGACGACAGAGGCTTTAAGGGGGAAGAGAGGAATAGCTAGAGAGCTGCAACTAACAAACGCTCTCATGATCCAGTGACAATTGGTGTCTCTGACAATGGTCAAATACACACACACACACACACACACACACACACACACACACACACACACACACACACACACACACACACACACACACACACACACACACACACACCTCTTCCGAGCTGCGACCCTAAAAGAAGCCTCTGGGTGAGTCTTTGTACCCGAGCGCAGTGCACTCTGGGTAATGAACTTGCTGCTCGCGGCTGTGTACTTCTGAAAGGAAGCGGCCGGGCGTAGCGGCGGCATTCAGGGGTCGGCGGTGGAGGCAGAGAAGGTTTGAGCCACAGCGACCCCGGAGAAATGAGCAAGAAGGCCTCACGTTTGGATTCTTTTAAGTCTTAATAAAATGAAAAGAACTAATTCCCAGAAAAAGTGCATCGGCCGAGTGGATGGACGTCAAACAACATTTCGTCGGGTTGCTACAGCGGAGCCGTGTGATGTTTTGTCACATGACCTGATTTGTCTGAAACTAGACAGTTTTGATTTTAAAAAAAGTACCGTTCAGCTAAACCTTCTATTGTTGTGATAGAACAACAATCTCACATTTTTGAGAGAGGGGAGACCAAACATAAACTACACGCTATGAAATACACACATGGGACATCCACTACTCTGTGAAAACTTACCTCGGGCCTGCTGAGGGACTCCAGATTATGAGAGGACTGAGACCAAAACACAAAGAGGACGTCACGTTTGAAGCTCCCAACTGAACTATTCATCACATGATTTAGTAATAAACAACCCAGCGTCTTTCATTCAGGATGTCAAGAGCTTTTAAAGCGTGGTCTAGGAGCTGAAGAAATAAGGAACGAGCTGAGCTGCTAAAAAAACGATGTGTTCAAGTGTCCCAGTAAACCAAAGCATCGCTAATCACGTCACTCACACCTGTGTGAGGAATAATTCAGAGAAACATCTTGCTGATGTTTATCAGAGAGCTTTATAGGGGAGCCGACCACAAACGACAGGAAAAGCTGTAGTTCACTTGGTTTTTGACGGGTTTCATATCCATCGGATGAAGCGATTGTTATGGTCCAACGCTGAGGACCACAGGTGCGTTCAGGTCGTACAAGATGTCAGGTATAATTGTGGAAACGCTTTAGTTGGGCGGGAACATAAACCATTGTGTGCTCCTCTAAGTGGATGCATCAAAACCTAATTGCCTTAGGCTTAAAACAAGAAGGCATGCGGCTGCGCAGTTTAACACTTGCAGAGCAGCAGCTGGAAGTTCAAGTTCCCCGGGCTTTTATTTTGGTGTGCAAATGGTCACCTGTCCCTCCAGCATGTCTCTCTGCAGGCCCAAGCGCTCCTGCTCGGTGCTGTTGGTCCGGCGGATGGACAGGCTGTGAGACTTCCTCTTCTGCTTGGCCTGGCGGGCGGCGGCACTGCTCCCGCTCTCTACCGGCATCCCTCCTTCCAAACCCGACGCAGCCGGACTGAAGGTACAAAAACGGGACCAAAAGTGTCAGAGGGAAGAAAACCATTGGGGGGGCAGAAACTCAAAGACGTCTGTGTCGCTGCGTCTTGCAGCTTCCTCCAGCGAATGTGCGAAGACGGTGTGGGTCCGAGCTCAGCGCAGCGGCCCCCTCAAGGACAAACGTGAGGGATTACTGGAACAGAAACTGTTGAGTGTGCAACAACGAAACAGAACTTTTGCTTCCTATAGTTCGCTGGAGGAAGCGGAAACGTTCAGCTGCAAGTCAACAAAATCGCTTTACCAAATGTAGTCAATATTCATCACATTAGACCATCTGGTCAAACCATAAAATAAAAATATATATATTTTTTAAAAACACTCATTGCACGTTCGTCAAAAAGACAACCAATATTTAAACCAACGGTGGTTCAAGGATCAAGGATTCAATTCATATTTTCTATTTTCTTCGTTCATTTAATCAAATCTTTGATTGGTCCATAAGATGTCCTTGATACTCCAATTTAAGAGGTAGAAATTAGCGAATTTTTTCATTTCACAGAATTCACATATTACATTTCCATAAATTGATTAATTGTTGAGCTCAAGTAGAGTATAAGATACAAAAACATGCAAATGCTCACATTTAAATCGGTGGAAGTAGCAGCTTCTAATTATGCTCAGTGGTAAAACAGATAAAATCTCTTACCCACTGCACGTCGTAGCTGTAACAATGACTATAACAAAAGGATGACAACCTACGGGTTACATTTAAAGAGTCAAACCCAGAAGGACACCGAGGGCTCAACTCATCTGCGTATGATGAGGGTGAGAGTGATGTCATAATCCGAGGACCCGGATGAGTCATTGTTATGAATGCTCATATCACAGTAGTGACCCAACATGAGACACCTCGGCTGAACGTTTAGAAGAGGAGTAAAACAGATTAAAATAAGGCAGAAACATATTTGGAGAATAGATTAAAAAAAATAGATTCAACCCCGGTCGCGTGACAGTTAACATGAGCCAAGTCCAGACGTTAGCCTTCCCAACGCGATGAGTAGCCTAGCATTAAGCTAACTACCGTTACAATCCACATGCTAAGGGGCTAACGGCTGAGAAGAACGTCTTCAAAGACGGAACCCAACTTACCAGAAAGTCTATAAATACAGGGTTTTATTCCGGGATATCGCAGAGAACGTCGCGGCTTGTAACATGTTCTCTGCTGCGCGAGAAAGAAGCGCAGGTTTTGTTCGCGAATCCGTAGTTGACAGTTGAGGAGCTCCGCTACGTGAGAGAAAAGATAACGAAGCCAATTCCGGGCAGGGGGTTTTCACAATAAAAGCCCAGTGTTCTGCACTCACAAGAAGTACGTTTCTGGTTCCCTCGGCCGGTACCACACGACACCTCGTACAACAACGGTTTTGGTTTCTAATGAGTAAATTGCAGGTCGTTGGGCGTATTAAAGACTGACCAAAACGTAACCAGTCAGGTATCGGTAATCTGAATATAATCACATTACTCCGGGTGTAATTTTGAGATGGCTTCTTGCTAATTAACGAAATAAAACATTCCTGGGCTGATGTTAGTGGTGTGTACAAAAAAGTTTAAATATTTTGTTATGCGAGTACCACAGAATACCGGACACGATTTATGGTTTTCAAGATAAAAGCACAGTAGAAAGGAATGCATGTACAACAATTCAGACAGAAGTTTACATCAGGTGTGTATTTATTTAAAGCCCCCATGTTGATGAATACTTCAAAAGAGAGACTTGTAAAGGGAGTATCATCATCATCATCATCACTTTATCCAAAGTTAACTCTGCATTATCGGATCCACATACAAGTGGACTCATAGTTCCACTTTTTTCAAAATTCTTCTGAGTTGTATTCATATGACAAGTAAATACAGTTATTATAATTAGTAATGATTTAAAGGGGTCTGGTGGAATTTCCCCAGCAGCATCAGTTCTTTTTTTAATTTTTTCACCATCCTGAAGGACGAAGCTTCCATGACACAAAAATAATGAAAGTTTTGTAGCTTAAAAAGGAAATTAATTTCTGGTTTCTTTTCTTTTTTTTTCTTTTTTTTTTACTGCAGGGGACGTTTACCCGAAGCCTTTCTTTATCCAAACAGAGCGTCCAGAAATAATCAGCGTCTATCTGTGATCGTGAGTGCCGGACGTCCTCTTTCCGGACAGCAGGTGTTTGGGTTTCAGGTCGAACACGTGTCGGTCCGCCTCGCCCTTCTTGCCTTGCCGGTTCATGTCTCTCTGGGAGTTCTTCATCATCTTCTTTGCCTTCTTTATCATCTGAGGAACGACCAGAAGACAACAATTGTTAACTAGTTCTCTTCAACTAAACTGCACAACAGTTATACCAAACAGATTGCAAACTACCAAATAGCAGCGTAGGGATTAATTGTCTCACGACATATTCATCACCATACAATAATATCTAGTAGCGGAAGGACAGAGGAAATAAACCACCTAAACCTTATTTCTACTGGTAATAAAAGATCAACAGGCAACCCTCAGAGACCTGAACTTAGAGGGTAAAAAAGATAACTGCAGCATGTTTAGTGAAGACGCCGGCCCGTACCTTTGGATCCCGTAAGCCTGACTGGTCTCGCGGTGGACGCGAGGCGCTCTGGCTTCGGGTTCTGGAGGTGGGCGGGGCCGAAGCTTCGCGCTTGCGTTTCTTGGTGACGCTTCGGGAGCGCCGGGCCAGCTGAGCGTAGTGGCTCTGGAACAAGAACATGAAGAGTGTTAGGTGGTGTAAGAAGGGTTTACTAGTGAAGAGCTCGACATTACAAGTCTTTTCATTTCAGTATTCTATTAAGTACGTAAAAAACCTGTCTAACTGATACCGAAAATGTCCCTCACAGGCCTCTGTACAGGATGTGAGGTTTATACCCAACGACTAAGACCATTAGCAGGATGTTCATTTGTAGTGTTGCAACTTAAAATCTTTAAATTGTGGATTCACAGTAATGTAACATGCACCTGAACGTTACTTTGTCCTCTAACATGTCAATTATTTAGTTCTGGGATCTCTCAGGGATCGACTAGTAGCTCATTCTCTGTTCAAGGTAGATAGAACGATGTTGTCATTACTGACTCCTGTTTTACAGGATGCGCAGGAACCTCGCTAGTTTCCTTTTCTCAAGACTAACTTACATCGTCTTTGTTGTCCATGTCCAGACCGAGGCTGCTCATCTCCTTCTCCAGCTTCTTTCTTTCAACCTGTAACACACGGTCAACGTTGGGGGGGGATTTTAGTCAAATGTTAAAAGCCAAATAACTAATATCATAAAATAAAAGATTAAAACATAAAAAAATATCTTTATATTAACAAATGACAGTAATTCACTGCACAATTAAAATGGCATAAAATAATAGTCTTTCGATAAGACCCTCGTCTTAAGTCCCATGTTGGTCGAAAGGAAGGGGGCGGGACCCTTCTGTCTCGGTCCTTCAGTTTGTAAGCTGAAGGTGGTGCTCACCTTGGTGGCGGTCCTGGGCATGCGGGGCCCGTGCACGTCCTTCTCCCTGGACGTGGCGACCATGAGCTGCTTCTTCGCGCGGATCTGCTTGGCCAGGACGCGGATCTCCTGCATCTCCTCGTCCTCGCTCTCGTCGTCAGAGTCGTACTCCCCGGCTCGCTCCTTAAGCTCCTCCTCTTTCTCCAGCAACTCCAGTTTCTGTGGGAGAGGAAGTCAAGATGCTCAGGAGGACAGAAAAGATAAAGACTGTACATTTAAATACATTAAATAAATATAAACAATATGGCCCAAAACTATCAGGTAAAAGGTTAAATTTAACAGAACATTTCTAGACGCCATCGGACTGTAAATGATGTAAAGCTATCACATAATAAATATCACTGACTCAGAGAGAGGAATGAGAGCGTTCGGGAGTTTAGAGGAAGAAGATTCCGTTAAAGTCTTAAATTGTGCCATAAACCCACCTTCATGATTTCGGGGTCGATGTAGTCGGCGATGTTGTGGCCCTCCCACACCTCGGGGATCTTGTCGTTCTTCTCCTCTTCATTCATCAGATCCCAGTATTCTGTTTAAAGTAAAACCACGTCAGCACCTTCTGCGACGTCACAGCGGAAACGACAAAGCGAAATGAAGCGACTCTTACTCTGCAGGTCCAGGATGTAGTCGTCGCCGAGCTCCATCTCCAGATCTCTCTCCTGTGAGATGATGAAATGTTTCATTACACCCAAGAGTTACTTTTAAAGAAAAGCCGGTTTGTGAGCACCGGACGTACCAGCTTGCGTTTGGGGGTGTCCACCTCCATCGCCTTCTTGCGAATTAAAGCTCCTTCAGGGATGAACGGAGGCCTCGCCTGCAAATCACAACAATAATGTTTAAAGTTTCACTATCCATCAAAAACTTATATGTCAGTACGGCTCCGGCCTACTGGTGAATAAATAGAATCGACAGGTATTTTGTCTATTACTGCCATCCAAGTGGTTATTTTCATTAAAACACATGACTCAAATTATCAGGAAATACATTTATTGCATAAATAGATCCAGTCCTATAAATAAAAATAAAATAAAATGTATTCTAACTCATTTTTCTTACCGTTTTACCAGATACTTTGACTACATTTACCCGTTGGAGATTGAACTTAACATCAAGTAAGTAAGCAGTTTGTGGTTAGCTCCTCCGTGAGCCGGACTGTGCTACTTCAGAGTAGCCAGCGAGAGAATGAGTTAAAATAGAAATTAACAGTCATGGCTCAACAGAAGAGAGCCGTTAGCTCTCTTATTTAGCCGTGCAG